TGTCTTGTATTTACCTGGCTAGAGCAAGGATGTGCTGGGGAATAATGGGTGACCATGGTAGGCTTTAAGTAAAATACTCAGCAGCCTGGATAATTCTATTGATATATAGCTTAGTACAAATGTTTCTTAGCAGGGCCTCAGAATAAATAAAATTTTAGAAAAACATACTTGGTGTTGTGTGCGTCAAGGCTCAGTGAGGTTATGTAGTAAGGACCCTGGATGGGACCCCAACCTGTAGAGTGACAGGGATGGAGGAGAAGGTAAAGGTGCAAGAGACACTTTGAGGGAAGGATCAAAGTCATCCACAGATAGTCTTAAAGATTTCTTCAAGCTTAGAGAATCTATGCTGCTTATAAATTCTGGACTGTATCTATTGACTTATTATTTAACATATTTACATGTGTACACAATTTGTTTTTCACAAGGAAGGGTAAAGATGAAAGAATTAAAGAACATTTTTATTTCATAGAAAAGGATCTTGTTTTTCATATACTTTAGCATGTTGTTGACCAAATCCTCACACCCAATTTGAAAGTTAAAGAATCAAGACTCTCATTTACAGAGTCTCAGAGAGGCTGAAGCAGGTGATCAAGGTCATGCAGCAGCTGCCTGGGATGAGATTAAAATCTTACCTCTCAATGACTTGAGTTCTTTTTCATTTTCAATGCTCTAACAGGAATAACACACACATACCATCTCCTTAGCCACAACTAGGCAAAAATGGGAAAAAATCACAGAAACAATCTCAAAACTTATTTCTGTTTATGTATGACTGTTTCAAAGCCAGTTTTTTACATTTGATGTTATCTTAAATAAAAACTCTGGTGCATACTCTGTGTCCTAGGTGAAACTTAACTATAGTCTAAAACATTTTATTCCTCCTAGATTAGGTTTGCTGAGAGGATTAAAACTTTGTACTTGAATGTAATGCTCACTCTAGTACTTTAAATAAATAGTATTTTTATCACCCCTGGTGCTCATCATTTGACTACAGCCAAGAAGTCTAAAGCATTCCATAGTCGGAACTCTATTAGATAACAAGGTTATGGATAGCTCCATCCAAGAACTGATGCTATGAATATTTGAGAATTTCTTCTTAAGGTATTTTCTTTCGCTCTTTTAGTAACATTTCCACGGCATTACAGATGTTCTCTATATTCTTCAGGTTTCACACCAAGTTGCTGATTGTTGTAATACATTTCAAATAGTGACATTTAAAACAAATATGCCCAAAGCAGCAAGGTTTCATGATGAATTTCAATGCATTGCTCTTGGCTATGATCTTTTTTCATTCTAAAACATTTTTAGCTTTCTATGATAACACTCCTTGGCTTCCTAAAGCAATTCCTTTTAATTATACCTTTGTACATTTAAGAAGAGATCCCACTGGGGAAAAGGGAGAGAGGTGAGAATATGTAGAGGACAGATTGACTGCTTTGCTTTGGTAGGCTTTAGTTCTGCTCCAAGGCTTCAGAGAGGTGCAGGCTCCCAGCACATTCTCCTTGGCTGCCTCCCTTGCTGTCATTTCCTGTCAAGGTCCTCAGTGATGGACACAAGATGATGCTCCTTGTGAAGACTACAAGGGGGCGTGGGAAGATGACCACTGAGATCACTTTAGTTCTTTTTTCTTCATGTTATAACGTGTAGAAATTTGTAATGCTTTTGACCTTAACTAAAAATATTTAGTTGACAAAGTTTGCATACCTTCAAAGTATGCATTATGATTTGATGTACTTTGTATTATGTAATAATTATCACAAATTAATTTTGATGAGAGATTTTAAGTGTTCTCAACACATATATGCACAATGATATTAACTTTTTATAGACTGCATCTGTACTTGTACTAAATAAGAAACAACATCTCAAGATGGCACTGACTGAAGGATTATACAATAATCCCACCCTAACGTGGTCCTGTCTTCTTTCCTTTCTTGCACGTAGGATATGATGATTTTCATGGGGAATATAAAAAAGTAATTCCTGCATTTTTATTCAGATTTCTAGTTTGGTTTTTCAACTGCCCAGATTTTGTGCCTTTGAATTTAATCAATGAATATTTATTTCATTTAAGGGGCTGTACTAGCAACTGAGTGGATACAATGATGAACAAGATTATATTTCTGACTTAAATGAATCTATATATCTCTCTCCATAATCAGACTTTAAAGTTGAATATGGCAACATACCACCCATTTTTGGCCCATATAAGGAAATTCTGTAATGAAGTCTGAAC